GGCGGAAAGGAAACTGTGTTGGCACTTTCCTCGGCCCAAGATAAAACGTAATTATAGAGGGGAAAATACTTCCCAATAATATAATAGGGTTACCAGTGTACGAAACCATTACCCGTGTAAGATTAGTTGATTACCACTTTGGAATTAGATGGAATACGTGTGTCTTAAATATGAATTTAAACATGCTTAATATGAATACGCAACATACATTCTCCTATTTATTTTGGTGCTATATTTAATAAATCAAAATTTAAAAAAATCGTAAGGCTGTTTCGGATTTTTTTTAAACTTTGGTGTCGCTGTTTTTTGTCCAATATTTCCTAATTCCCTTGAGTTTTCTCAGAACCTACAGTCAAAACTCGAGATAATTTTCATGAGAATAAAATCATTATTAAGATTACATTTTAATAAAGATTTAAAAAGTTACAAGTTGTAAACTAAAAAATTCAGTTACATGTTAATTTTTCTTCTTCTTTTAGAAACAATGAAATTGAACATTTTATTCAGGTTGGTAATAAGCGAGAAATATATAATTAAAGTTTATTTACTGCCCATCTTTACCTTACTGCCAACTGTTACTCATCGATTAACTGCAAACTTTTCTTACGCGAGAAATTCCGTCATTTTTCAACACTTTCCAACCAAGACGATCTTCAGTGGATCTCTCATTAAAGCCAATGGAAAGTTTTAACTCAAAAAATAATAATTCAGAATTTTTATCTTTAGACATTTACATTAAAAAAACATTACTTTAATTGATATGCTTCATTTTTCAAAATAGAGTACGCGAATTCAACAATCTGTATCTTGTAGTGACATTTAATTTGGGTCACAGTACACGAATTTACCTGTGAGATCGCGGTCTCTCTTGAAAACAACGCAAAATCTTTACGACCGAGGCTAATTTTAGATAATTCATCACGCCCACTCAGCATTAGGTTTCCCGCCCACATGCCCACTCTGAGCAAATGCGTTGCCGCAAGAGGCAGCCGTTTCGCAAACTGGAGCAAAGCGGGGGCGGCTGGGCGGTTCCTGTCGGCGATCGCGACCCGGGCAGTGAGAGGTCGTCCGATCGACGCCGGACTGGCGCAACGGCGCGCGCCGTCGTGGCGCGTGCGCCCTCGCTCCCCTCTCCCCCCCCGCCCGCCCCGCCTCCTTCTGCCCGCCCGCCCACGATCTCGCAGACACTCCGGTCGCAGCCGCACCACGCGCTCCGCCCTGCTGCCTCGCCCCGCTCTCTTCCGTCTTAGCCCGCCTCGCCCCGATCCTCCTGTCCCCCGCTCTGCTCTAACTCGTCTCGCCCTGTTCCGTCCCTTCTGCAGCCCCGGTCTGTCACGTCCTGCCTCGCCCCTCTGCGCAACCTCTCGTCCCGCTTTCGCTCCGCCTCTACCGCTTCGTCTCATCTTTTACGCTCCTCGTCCCAAGTGTTCCGCCCCCGCTCGCCGCTGCGGGGGCGGCCGGCGCCAGGCAGGGTGCGGCGCCAACGGAGCGGAATCTGAAAGTTATTGCTCGCGCCCGGACACATTTCCCCGCCATTTTCTTCAAAAAATGGTCCAGGAAGCGGCGGGTGGGACTTCAAAAGTTGATGGTTGACAAAATTACGCCGGGCTGGTTCGCAAAGAATGTGACGGGATGGCCCAGTTGTTTCTGTCAACAGACCCAGCCGTCCGCGAAGGTCAGCTGCCAAGAACTCTCCTACGCTTTAACTCATCTGATGAACTCATTCACGGAGAGCAAAAATCTTCGTTTTTCTTAAAGGTTTGTGAGTTGAACATTGTTTGCATTACACTACGCGTGGTACATTATTTAAAGGTGCTTTATCATCCAAACGTTTGTATAATTAATATAATAATCTCAATAAAATACCATCGCATTTTCTGCCTCCAATTCGCAGATTTCTAATGATGTTCTCTCAAGCATGTTGCTTTTGCTCTTTCTGGTATTTTGTCGGCCCGCAGCTTTTTCTCTTGGGTACAAGGAAGAGCTCTCCCAGAATCAATGCTTCCAAGATCGCCCCTCCGCTTTCATTTCGAAGAATACGAGAGAGCAAAACAACAAATTATCTTTTTCATGCAGTTTATTTTGTATTTGTGTTGCGTTTTACTGATCAGGAAAGTGAATATTAAAATTAAAATGTCATGAATAATGATTGTTCGTAATCTATTGAAACTGATTGCTACGAATCCAGCGGGCTGCACCAAGGGGTGTGTGAAAAGGGACCACGGTCTTCTGTTTAATTATACGGAATTAAAATCATTATATTTCAGTTACATTACAAACATATTTACGAACGTTCTACCACGTTCACCTGTGTTGGAAGTTTTCTCTCTACTGGTGCGAGATTATCCACTTGCTATTCTCAAATGGAAACTTAGCTAAATTGTTTTCTACTTTCCCATTCCAAAAACATTGGCCGGGATGAATCGGGCCAAACCTTCTCAAAGAGTCACTTCTGAGAAGAGATTAGCTCCGAAGGAGGTGAGAGGGAAAACTGACGAGGGATGCAATCGGGCGATTCCTGATTTGCGCTTCGTATGTCGGCCGTGATCCCCTCCTCAGATCTTTGATTGATTATTCTGTTTCCGGGCGCGTCACCTGGTCATTATTCCCGTAAGTGCACTGGATGTTTTATCGCGGGAGAGGACGGAGTTCTTTCTCGCTGAATGTTGACATTCGGTGACGACCTACACGTCGCCATCCGTGTTTCCCCATTCAGGTATCTCCCACCGGCGTGGCACCTTGCAAGCCGAGACAAGTTTCAAGCTCCTGGCTGGTCTAGCGACATGTGTTGTTGTGTAGTGCATGTCGGTGTGAGTGTATGTGATGGGTCGAGGATAGGATAAGAAAAAGGAAGGAAAGATCACGCGCGGTCCGTGGCCCGTTTGATAGGGAACTTACTTCCGGCATTCGCCTGGTATTGATCGGAGAAACGGCGGAAAACTACCGATCAAAGCAGACGGTCGTTAGAATTCTCCTCCAGACATTGATTAAATTTGATCTAGCTATCTTGCTAATGTCGAAATTTGTTGACAACTTTCGTTGATGTATTAAAGTATGAGTCTCCATTAAAAATAATTACCGGATGAACTTCAAAAATACAATGCGAATTCCATACCTGATTTTTAGCATCTAGTATCTGCATTGAGAATTACAAAATGTTTCAAAACTTCATAAAACACTCTGAAGTAACTTTCAAAATATACACTAAGCGCATTCCAGAGCACAGTACTTTCGCATCCCTAGTTTTATTTCAAGGTAACGGGGTTATACTTTCTCCAGCTTTCGTATATACAACCATGTCCGGTTAATGCGATACTTGGATCATGCCAGTAACGTTCACAACAATGAGTGTTTATTACATCTAACATTTCATCATTAGTGGATAAACGTACATATAATTGTTGAAATAGATTGCTAAATGAAAAAAAAATTGATTTACCCGAAAAACGTTATTATAAAAATTCTTTTACGAATTTCGATGAGGGCTAAGGGAATACTCCCTTTCCATGTCGGGTGTCGAACGTACAAAGGTGATTCATATTTATTGCTTTACGTACTTCTTTCTTTATTTATTAATTGGAAAATGTGGAGTGTATTATTATGTCAAGCTGTTCAAAATGTTGTCTTGTTCAAGTTATTGTATTTGTGGAAAGTATAAAGACGATTTTCTTAGAATTTCACCCATCTTGTACCAATTCGCGCCTACTTCTATCAACCTTTCGCTCCCCTCCCTCTAAATATACTGCATTTTTTGCACTCGCTTCTAATATACCACTTACAGTATTGTTAATCAGGATTACTTATCGAGATAACTTCAAAAAAGGGTTCCGTTTCATTATTGCTTCAGTAGAAATCATTTTTATCGATTTTCGTTCACCATATTTTATTGCTGTTTATTGATTTTAATTTTAGAATTGGTAGAAGATATAAAATATTTGATTCATTCTTTGACCAACATTGTTAAATAATGAACGTACATTTTGAAAATGCCTCTAACATGAGATGATGACAACACGTGTTGACTCTGAAATATTATCCTTACTTCTCTGTTTCAATATTGTGTTCAGTGATTGAATCCATAAACTTCGTTGCTAATTTGAGATAAAACATTTTCAAACTGTACACAATCGAATTTTCTCTCAAGAAAACAATAAAACACCACTTACCCAACTTGGAAACAAAACCCATGTTGTGCGTCGTTCGCAACGAGCATGAATCACCAAAAATGCACCTTTCTCCGCTGCACCCACTGGCCACTCGGTCACCCTGGGTCGTTCTCCGAAAGCAGCAGGGGGCCGCCCTAAGTGGCGGTTCTTGCAACACCTTCCTCCTTTGAAATTCCTCTTTCGGGAGCTTCCTTGTGTTCTGCTGCGAAAGGGCGCCTTCTCGCCCAAACACTCGCACACGAACGTCGGCTTCCGAAACTTCTAACACCTCCGGCACGTTTCCAATCGCATTATCACCGATTGTGCTTCACCGATCTCTTGTCCCACACCGCTCATTACGACAGGCCGTTGCGTAACATCTGACGTAACGGTAAACATGCAAAACCATATCGACGGAGACGTCGGCGCTTTTTCGAGCGAAGCGGCGGCGGGAGCTGGGCGGCGGCGACCGCGGCTGGGCGAGAGAGCGCGACCAGATGCCGCCCGCGAGGAGTCACGTCGCGGCAGCGAGGGCCCGAGCAGTTAACGCCCGCGTTTCCGCAGGCGCTCCGTGCGCCGCGGTCGCACGACAGCCTGCCGCCGACTCACTGCGGCAGTGCCGTACGTGCTCTTCGGCGCCGCTATTGTCCCGTCACTGATCGCCTTCAGGAGGAGTGCAGCACGCGGTTCCGGCGCGAGAGGCGAATAACCCTGCTGAATAACTCTCCCTCGGCCGAACGCGAGGTGACGAGTGCTTTGTCGGTCGGCGGAAGAGGTTTGTTATCGTCCCACACCCAACACACTGTCACTGTTCCGATCAGTTTCGGTACAACTGCTGCTTCTGGTTTCGTGCACTGTTTCCACTGCATCCCCCGTGTCGCAGGCTTGATCCTTCATGGTGTGCTTCCCGGCGAAACTCCGAGATGGTTGATGGAAGCCGAGACAGACGATAGTGATCTGGAGGTGGCTGCGGGCAACGGAACGGCAGCTGCGGTCCCGACCGGTCCGGCGCGTCCATCGATTTCGGCGGCGAGGAGGCGACTGGCGGCGGAAGCGGCGCCGCGTTCAAGCGAGCGCGCCGCGGCGGCAGCGGCGGCGCCTGTGCGGGCGGGAGAGAGAGGGAGGGAGGGGGAGGGGGGCAGGGTGGGGGGGACGGCGGAAGTCCCGCGGAGCGCGCGACGCCTCGTGACACGCCGCACCCGAATGCCGCCACGCAGTGGGAGGGGCTCGGGCCGGCGGCGCAAGGCTAGCTGCGTGGGCGAGGTTGCGCCGGCACCGAGTGGGGATGGAGGACGCGCGATTGATTGTTCGCGCCGATGAAATTCCTGGAGCGTTTAAAGGCTCGAGAGCGGCAGCAATTAAATTCGTTCACTGGTTAAGTGGTTCGGTCGGGTGCGAAACCGCCCGGTACTTGGAGCTCCTGGAAAACGTAAATGGACGCGTTTCCAATACGCACGTAATTGCGGCTGAACTGCTATCACCATATTCCACTGTGATATTAATATTATAATAATAACGGAGAATGTAATATTATTTAATTATAACAATATAATAGTATTCTGTTGAGATATTTTGTTGTGTTCATCGTAGACAGGAAGGCGGACTAATAATTTCTTTGAAAACCTTGAAATATCGTATCATGATTTACGTATTTTATAATTTTAGATTAAATTATCTTGCGGAATGGAATAGATACAAAGTAAACCTAAACCGTTCCTTAAATTTTTCATATCAAACAGTAAATTATTTTCATCGTTTTCCATTATTTGCAAATCAAATATGATTTTGAACATATAAAAAATTGTTAAGTCTTCGTCACAATGATTATACTTTTTAAACATTCTTTATATTAGAAATTCTCTGAAAGAATCTCTGCAATATAGAGAAACTGGTTTTGTGGTTTACTAGGCACACTTCTCCGGCTATGTATTCCTTGTGTCCTCCGAGAATGCAAATTTCCCCACTCGATGACGTGGCCAGGACTGTCACTGCCGGTGTGGCACTGTGCCGCTCAGGAAGCGTCTTCTGGACCATCAGCGCAAAGCCGCGCCGCTCCGCGGTCCGACGGGACGAGCTTCGCACGCGGCTCTTTGTGCAGGGAGTGCTTAGTGTCAAACTGCAGGTACCCGACTACTCTTAGTCTACGCGTGAACAACCTACGACTTGAGGATATCTGTGAGCGAAGCGGTGCGTTGCCTTCTCTCACTGATGTAATATTTCTTGGAAATGCGAGAGATGAAGAATTAAGCGTCAAGACCACTCCTTTCAGAAATTGAGAAACGATGTAATGAATATTTCTTACTTGCTAATTTACCTTGCATTTTAATTTTACGATTTCATTTCTCGCGGCCAACAGGAAGGAAAAGTAACGTTATGAAAGAGTTTACCTCGTATTCTGGGTGCTCGGCATAAAAAAAAAATTAAGTTTTTCGGGCGGAAAATAATTGTATTTCCTGAAAATATTGTGTTTCACTTGAATTAAAAAAAACGCGAGCGTTGATTTTGGCAGTTGAAAAATTAATTAATTAACAGTATTTGTCCGTTTTTTCAATTTTTTGTGGTCTGTCTGCGGAAATCATTGCATCGCGAGTTCATTTCTCTATTAGGTGAAACTCAGTCGTCGCTCATTCTGGCGCCGGGCGGCTCAGCAACTGCTCTGCTGTCACGTTGAAAAGCTCGGATTACGTAATACAAATATTCGTGTTGTCGTAAATATTATTACATTTTTTTATCAACTAAAAAAGGTCGATAAAGGATAAATTCAAATATTCTGATACATTTTTTGTTATATTACAATTTTTATTTGGATTGAATGTATTCATTTATGATGTATATTACATTTCTATTATTCCACACTACATCAAGCATTGAGGAATATAACACGACAATGAATTCCGTCACTTGTGGCACATTGTAATAGAAATATTATTCAAAAATTTATCCCAATGCAAAAATAATATTCTGGTATTCAATCCATTTCATGTAGATTTTGCCAAGATGATGACTGAATTGCTCGTTTCCAGGCAATAAAGAACTTGACTATTAATAGTTATTATTTTTACTAATCATAGTAATCAAGGGTTTTCATTTTCGATTCAATAGTTTACTAATCGCTTGACAGTAGACTTCAGTAAGTCTTCCTGATTTCTCTTATTTTATTTGTGAAACTTCCATCTCAAGTGAAATAGTTTCAAATACCACTCTCATTACGAAAGGGAAAGGAAGCCTAACCAGCGAGGTAGCAGAAGCGCGTCGCGCTGTCGGACGCGTCTTGCAAGCTTCCGTCGCCACCTCCGCCACCTCCGCCGCCTCCGCCGCCGCCGCCGCCGCCGCAACCACGCCGCCGCCCCCGGCGCCTTCCCTGCCGCCTCCGCGGTCGCGTCCACCGCCCCCGCCTCCGCCGCCACCTCCACCTCCTTCTAGGCGATCTCCTCCGCCTCCGCCTTTTCCTCCGACCGCCGCCGCCGCCGCCGCCGCCACGCGCACCCATTCTTCCACAGGGCAGCCGCTCCGCCGCCCAGTGATTAGCTTGCTTTCGCGCGAACTTTCTCGCTCTGGTGCTAAATGCATTCTTTGTACCGGCGCTGCCCGGTAGTTCCTCCCCCAAAGTAGCTTTCGTTTCCGGAAAGTACCTCCGACGCGGAGACGAACGCATTACCGAGCCACTAAGTGGATTTAATTAATTCTCGTGAAATGTGGCCGCCCTCCCGTGACGCGACAGAGCGTCGATGCGGGTTCGGACAGCGGAACGCCTGTGCGTGCCTTGAAGCGGTGCGTAAGCGCTGCGCGTGTTGCGTTTCGGTTGACAAGCCGTGTTTGACGCGTGTGCGACGCAGGTGCGCACAAGCGCAAGGGGGAAGTTGGCTGCGATGTTTGTTATTTGAGGAAGGCGAAGCGCAAAATGTGCGTGAGTAAAACTTGCTGAAGCACCAACAGCCAGTTGCAAAAATTCGGGAGTTATACAGGTCGCACCTGAAATTAGAGTCAAACGTGTAATACGGACATGGAATGTTTTCTCTTTGTTACACTGTGCCATTTTCCTGAATTGTTCGCGTGAAAATAATAAAATCTGAAAACTTTCTTCCCTTAAAATTTTAATCTCCTTAGACATAAAACAACTTCTGTCACTTCCTCCTCTCTTTAATGTCTTTCTCTTAATAATGTAATCACCAATTCTTGAAAGATTATAGCACTTAGTGATGTTTAAATTGATGGTCCTGTAAATCTGAGCTTCAACGCAATTGTCAGTTTTTTCACAAAAAATTTCGGTGTAATTTTCTAGTAAATATCATCTGGGAAGTGCGCTATTTATTTTATGTTTTGAACTGTCATAACAAATATTTTAGTTTGGTCCATTTTACATTATTGTTTACTTTGTAAAGTTTTATAAGAATAATTCTTAAAATGCATTACAAATGAGAATCAGATAGTATTAAAACAAAAAGGCTTGCTTGCTACATCGGAACTTTTTTTTGGCAAGTTTCAAGCACCCAAATGAGGTTACATAGCAACTATCATAGGTTTTTATTGTTCACTGTCTAATATCGAAACTACTGCGCACAACTACAAAATAAATACCGGAGATTTGTTCAAGCATTCAGTAAAAAATCAGAGCGAAACCTTTGAATTACAAGTGCCATAATTCAAGGTTACGGGGACCACGTAAAAATCAATAAAGGTCCAGAAGTTGAATGAGTCCTTTGTGAATAAAAATAAACACTCAAGGGCTACCGCTGCTGGCATTTCCTTGCGACGGTCGTTCCTGGCGGATTCGCTTCGTAGAAGCTGTCCTTCTCTTCCGCGATTCACATTATTCTCAGGACCGAATCTTCGTAAAGGACGTCAAGATCGGCGTTTCTAGAAGGCTTCTAGTCGGCGTCTGTGGAACTGGTGACGCACGGTAATGTGGGCCCGAAAGTACAAAAGATTTAAACGGTTCCAAGGAGAGCAAAGCGCGGCGCCTCGCAGCCTCCTCCG